GTCATCCCTAACCAAGTCAAATGCCCTGGATAAGTCAAGAAAAGCCGCGTAAATTGCAGTCTTCTTATCCATATAATACCTGGCAGTATGCTTGAGAGCCAGAATGGCGCACTCAGTTGACAGTTTTGGCCTGAAACCGAATTGAGCGTCGTGCAGAACCAGGTGACGCTTGAGCTGTTTCTCAACCAGACCGTCAAGTAATTTTGCTATGATAGTAGCTAATGAAATCGGCCGATAGTTGGTCTTATCGGATATATCTCCAGTTTTATTCTTAACAATAGGAACAACGACCAATCTCATCAACTCTGCAGGCAGGTATGAGTGTCTGATACAGAAAGTAAATAGCATACCTAGTAACCTCGGGAAGTGCTTAATGCTGAGGCCGTCATGACCCGGTGACTTGCCTCTTTTCATACCTTTAATTAACTGTTCAACCTCTTTAGCTGTCACACGTTTTGGCACACCAGATACGATTACCTCAACATCAGCACCCCGAGCATTTTGCTGCGACTGCACCCCAAAATAAGAACTGAACAAGTTAGCTATATCTCAATACCCTCAACGGTAACCGGTACGCTAGGCTTCGGACTTAATTTCCTGGTGTATTTCCAGAAGCTTCGAAAATCTTTATCTTTGTGATAGGTAGCTAAAATATTAATTTTAATTAATTGTTGATTTTTTTGACAGAATTTTAATTTTTCCTTAAATTTTTTCCTGGACCTATACATATCATCATAAATAAGACCTCGTGAGGGTCGTCCGTACCATACCTAAGTCAAAAATTTTTGCCTAGCGTCCTGGTGAGCGTCACGTACATATTTATTCCACCCGGCAATGGGTCGACCACCCCTCTTATTACCTCCCCCCTGACTATAATTAAAACTAATCTCCGCGGCCTCTTGGAGTGATAAGATTATATTACTGTAAAATTTGTCAATTACGTTAATGTGCTCTAGACTCACATCATTACAAGTGGAATCACAATACTTCTCAAGCTCATGGGGAAAGTCAATTAATTTTAATTTTCCGTTACAAACTTTAGTAAAGATTTTAGTTTGTTGCTCATTACGTTCCCCCCAGATTACTTTATTTCAAGTGGCCTGCGGCAGCCCCGTCGACTGTGTCAAAGTTTTAATATTGCACTGAATTTCTAGTGGAAAATGGTCTGACCATAACACATCATAATGCACCTTAACGTCAGTAACGGAACTACGGGCGGCCAAACAGTGATCGAGCCAGCGCCGACTGCCATTAATTTCACTAATATATGTGTATGTCGTAGAACTATGACCTAACGTTTTTAGATCTATGCACTCCCAGTTTTGATCGTTACAAAAATTTATTAGTTCTTTACAAAAAAGCTCCCCTGGGTGTGCATTAAAATCTCCTAAAACAAATACAGATTCAATGTTATTGTTTTCTACTATAGCCGCTATCTCGCCTTAGCATTCTATGATTGAATGAATGAATATACTTTTATTGTACACCACGAACAAATATACAAATGTCATAACAAAAATCAGATTATAATATGTACAATTTGGCGGCCTTATCGCTACATAGCGATCTCTTCCAGGCAACCAAAGGTGTAAAGTAATACAAACAATGAATAGGTAGGTGGTAGGTGGTGCAATATAAATATACAAATAATAAATGCAAAAAAAAAGATATAAATAACTAAGTAATATAAGAAATAATATAAATTACTCACACATAATAAAAGATAACGTAAAACATATAATATATACATATACATACATACATACATACATACATATATATATACATATACATACATATACACATATATACAGAATAGAAAGTATATGCATGTTCCGGCGAAGTCGGATAGGTAACCACTTGAGACGTGAGCGAAATTGGGAAATATGGTCAAATTTGCGCAATCCAAATATGAACCGAATACTAGTATTTTGAATTCTCTCAAGCTTATTTAGCTGGTCCTCAGTTATGTCTACATAGCTTGCGTCAGCATAGTCGAGAATCGGAAGGAGACGAGACTGTGCGAGCATAATTTTTGTAGGAATGGGAAGAAATGATCGAAGGCGACGCAGTGAACAAAGAGCGACAAAAGTTTTCTTACTTACCTCATTCAGTTGGTGTATCCAATTTAAGGAATGATCAATATAAATACCAAGATTTTTGACATTGTCAAAGTAAGGGATAACAACTCCATCGAATACGATAGGTGGTACAGAGAACCAGTCAATTCTTGAGATAAAGCTCTGGCTAGCAATAATGATAGCCTGAGACTTTTTAGGATTGACATTTAGGCCATATGATTTACTCCACTCGTGTATAAAATTTAGATCCTTATTTAATGTAGCGATTGCATTCGGCAAATTCTCAAGAGTTGACTGGGTGTAAATCTGGACATCATCCGCATATATGTGGTAGAGAGAAGATATTTTATGAGTGATTGAATTAATGAAAATGGAAAAGAGTAAAGGTGACAACACGGCGCACTGCGGCACGCCTGCAGTAATATCACACCAAGATGAGTGAGTTTCTTCGACACGAATACACTGCCGACGGCCACAGAGATAACTTTGAAACCAGTCAATTACTGATGGAGATATGTTAAGGGAACATAACAGACTCAACAGTATATCGAAGTTAACAGTATTGAACGCATTACTGAAATCCAGCAAGTTCATGACTGTGAGTTGTTTATATATATAATAAGTGATAATGGGAGTAATAACATCAAGGAGAGGAACAATCATATTATGGCTAATGTTGTCACTACCGGCAGCATTTGAGGAGATGGATAATATGGTCTTCTTAACATCACATTCAGTAAACTGACTAAAAACGAACGGAGGATAATTAGGAGTCGGAGTTACAGAAAGCGAACGAAGTGTTTGCAGTTTATGTTCGCTATCAAAAGAGTTAGAAGAATTAGAAAAATGTTGATTTAATAGTTCAAAATCAACACTAGAAGGTGAAGTATTTAGGGATGTTCTACCAACTCCAACTGTTTTGAGAAACTTCCACACCCTAGATGAGTCGCCGTTCTCGACTGATGTATGAATATGGCGTCATTGCGCATCTCTACACAATGTGTTGCATCGATTCCTGATTTTGGCGTATTTCCTTACGTTTTCCTGTGTTTTATTCCTCTTAAGCTTTGACAATGCCACATTCTTCTGCAAAATAAGCTTCTTCAGATCATCAGAGAGCCATGGAGCAGGTAGGTTTTTAAGTCTCACATAATGCATTCTACATACTCTACAAAATTTTCAGGCGAATTAGTAGGCATATAAACTGAGAAAACTAGCATTGAACGATTCATAACACAAAGTTTAATTGCAACTATACGGTCACTCGCGCACGGTATCACAGACACACACTCAAACTTTGAGCTATTCCATAAAAGAGCCACCACACCATATGGCCTTCCTCGCAATAGTGATGCAACAGAGGTATTTTAATATCTGCTACACGAAACTTTTGCTCTGCATCTATACATGTGCCCTTTTCACTTAAAAAGCGGTTTCTGTACCTTTTTCTCTGAACAATTTTCCATTCTTCATTCTGCTCCTTGTCTTTCCACTGTTTATTATTACTTCGTACCATTTCCGCCATACTATGTCTAGTGTTTATGTAAATTGTTCCTCTTTGTCATCGCGTAAAAGGCCACTTCTGAACATAGATCTTTACCGTTGTATGGAGGATGAACGCTTGACAAACATATTGGCGATTGTATTAAGCCGCGTCTCCACCAAAGTTTTGTTGCCAACAGGTGTTGCCAACAAATGTTTCTGTCAACAAGCGTCTCCACCGAGGGAACGAATGTTGTCAACAAGCGCATTCCTTTGATGTTGCCGCCGAGAATGGAGACAAGTTTTGTTGGCAACTGTTGTGTTGGCAACAAAACTTTGGTGGAGATGCGACTTTAGACACCCTGCACCTTTGACACTGCTCCCCTTTGCAGGCCTACGTATTAAGCGCTTGTGATCTGCGTTTGACGTAAACCGCTTGGTTATACCACCATGTATCTACAGTCTAAAGATCTTTCTGGTATTTTTCATAGTCGTCTCTTACTTCACTCACGCAATGAAATTGGATGATTTATTCATCTTACGTTTGCTGTGTAGTGGCGGGATAAGTACATCCACAACACTATATTATCCCGTCAGTATCCTAAGAGGCAACAGAAGAAACTGAAATGGGTAATGAGCAGCAGCACCTTTCCTCAAGCGTTGCAACTGCGACAAAAACAAAGTCCCCTCTGTTAGACAATCGGGAATCTATATGGAAAGCCTATGTTCGGCAGTTGACTTTTGACATGCTGTAATCAAAGACGTATTAAAAAAGATAGACATTAACATATTAAACACTAACATTATTGTATTTTAAAGTGGCGCAGGTAGTTATTTATTATAGTAGTTTAGTACAGTTATTTATTATGAGACGTTGCGCTAACAAAAAGAGACAAATGATACGGCATACCTATCATAAGAAAAAGATGGATATACATCATTAGTTGCGTATTGATTGCTGCTGAGCGCTCATTGGTGCGAGCGCGTGACATACCGATATGGAAATGAACACACTAGCTAGCGTCAAAGTTTACACTAGCGGTTAGTGTTGAAATAATAAAACCAATTATAAACAAAACATCTATATTCAAAATATTAATGAGACTTTTTCTTGTCTCTAACAGTTGCCGTGTAATTTGTGCACCACCTAAAAACACAGGAAAGCATTTTTAACACGAATAACTACAAGATTTACGCGCTGTAGTGAAGTTATAGCCGCGACGCGTGAGCGTGCCCGACTGAATGCGAGTCGGGCCATCACCTGACTTTCGTATTGCCATTTTAGAGCGAGTATGACGTATCTATACTTTAAAAACATCTTAGGCTATAATGAATGTATTATGGTTGAAAGATAGAATTAATAAATGAATGCATGCACGAATGTATAGTTGTAGTAATATTAATAATAAACAACCTCTTTTAATTTTTTCGTTACAGGTAGATCACGTTGCAGCCATTTTATGAGCTCCTGTTACCTCGCAGCGAGCATACGTCGACGTTTGCACATAATTGGCGTACCTTGTGACAACACATGCCCCAAACAAGGCCGGTGGGGCATTCGATACGACAGGAAACCCATTGTTCTTGGAGATGAAATTCCTGATTCGTTAGTATAACATTTGTTTCTTTGAACATTTTTACTTCTTTGTTTATTAGTTTCCTGGTAGGTAGGTATCTTCCCTTACCTATACCTATAATTTATTTGATTCTGCGCCTATATCTACCTAATGTTTTGACGTTACATTTTTTTTATTTGTGTCCCAGTGTTTAGATTAAGAGAAGCAATAACTCACACACTACGAGACATTTTATGTTAATCCTCTATGTGGCATTTCTTTGCTTTTATAAATAGCTACAGGTTTCCAGCATTGGCTACAATAGCTACTACTGGAGTTAGACTTCGTTTGCCATAATTCACATATTATTAATAAGTATACTTTTCAATTTATTTTATCTTTAATTCATTCATTCATTGCAGTGCATCAAAAGTCCACCGCTGAACAAATGCCCCCCTATAGAATGCTTAATTGTAGTTACGGTGGGCAAGTATGCAGGTGGATTGGCATTTGCAAGATCAGTTTATCTCTGTCGCCTTTTACCACACCTGGTTTTTAGATGTACATAGAATTGCACCTGGTGTGGGTATTCTTACGCCGCATCTGCACAATGAAATAGTTTTTTTATTTACAATAAAGTATTTAAATTGATCATATACATATTTGTCCTGATATGATTATTTCAAAATTTTAAACAGATAAGCTTTAAATACAACATTACTACGATAACAACAATCGTACTTATAAATTGCGGTGCAATAATACGGATGAAAGAAAAAAATAACCTTGTTATTAGATATAATTTGCATATTATTTTAATTCGTCTCATTTTTTTTTTACTTTTATTTTGATTGATTTGAGCATGAAAGATATATATATATATATATAATAACATCCTCCTTATTTCATTTATCTTTAATCTGTGATGTCAGCCTTTTGACCTTTACAGCTTCATCTGTCTCAGGGCTCTTATCTGTCTTAGCTGTATTCTTATTTAAGTAACTTTGAAGAGCGCTACTCAATTTCAAAATGCTGTTAAATCTTCTGCTGTCTTTATCACTTTAAGTCAAGAATGTTACTATTACGGCCTACGGTTGCTCCCTTAAAGGATCCAATCCTCTGGGGCCCATGAGCAGAAGACTTCCCGAGCAAACGTAGGTCGGGCCTCAATGTGGCCACGTGAAAATTCCTAATTACAATAAACCAGATGGGAGGACGTTAGAAGGACATAGTTCTTACCATTATCCGAAGCTAACTTCGCACCAAGGCTTGGGCAGGCCGTGAGTGTGTGTAATAGTGGATGGAGAGTAGTGTACAGTGAGGGGGGAATGTGTGGGGCCTTGTCAAGCATAGGCGACCAGCTGCTGCCGAGTTCCAGGCTGCTCCAAAATGCTGCCACACTGCTTCAGACTGCTTCGGCGCCGGACCACAGTCACTTTCTTCTTTCGTCACGATGACAGTCACTTAACTCTATCGTACGATTAACTAGCTTACAGAAGCCACTAACTATCGCGGGGTATAAGGTTACCGCACAAAACACGCCCGGAGTTTCTGGATCAAAGGTCACTACCGTTTCGCGTTGCAACAGTTAGTTCTAGAATACAGAGGCCGCACTAGCTAATATTGTCGAATGCACTTATACAGATTCTGAGTCGGACCCAATAAGTCCCGGGGAAGCTCTCCAGTAGGGATACGCGCCACAAATTTCCTAGACCGTATTTTTACTGTCCGCGCTTAATTATTCCGAGTTCCCGCGCTTAATTGGCAGCATGCCAATCGTGAGCACTGCCTAAGGACGACTGACTGCCCCTGGGCGTTTTTCGCACGACCGAAAGTCAAACCGGTATCGCGCCGAGCCGAGTGACATCTGGCGTCGATTCTTGACAGCGTGTAGCGCGAACAAACCCCCGTCCCGGACATAAGGATTTAGGTCCGCGAGCAAACCGGTCAGCGGGACTAGGTCGAGACTGCAAGTTGAAAGACCGAATCTACAACCAAACTAGGCCACCTTAGGCAACCCATCAGATCTTGCAACCCTAACAACGCCTCAAAAGACAGCCCTAATGTGGCAAGCCGGAGGGCCAGCCTCCACTGGATGCCCCTCCTGGGCATCGCAGCATTTTAACAAGTCCTGTACTGGACAGAAGTCCGACGACCTCTTTCAAACACCTATCTGTGCCCCTACGATTAGTTCCGCAATTCGACCGGATCAGCTCTGCAAACAGCGACGCTACACGAAGCTGCCCAGACAAATTTTGTGCCAGCAGTTGCTTCAGTGCAGAGCGCACCCACAAATTCCACATGAACGTCGTCTGTGGAGAGCCAAACGAAACGCACAGATAGTCCCTAGTATGAATTTTCAACAAGTAGGCCTAGCCAGGCCACTCACCATATTATCATTTACCAAAATAGTGCGGCAGCTGATTTCAATCTGATAATCTCCAAAACTAGCTAGCCGGTTAGGCAAGTAGTCCTATGCTCATATTTCAACTAATTTTTCAAAAGCATCAATGTGCAACTACAGAATTAATTCAACCAAATTAATCACCGATGCGCATAGGTCAACTTGCAAATGAAACAAAACAATAACGTAAGGGACAGCCCTACTTCTTCGCAAAGCAAAATGATTAAACACTATCATAAACATAAACATAATTTTTCAAATAGTGCGCCATTCCATTTCAGATGAATTCAAATTTTCCTTTCAGCAAACAGACGCAACAATCAAATACAGTGATTAAATATATTTACAGAACACATGCAGTAGCATTTAAAGGAGTAGATTTAATTCAATTCTTTTAATTTAAACCGCTACAAATAGGAAAATTTCGCGGAAAGCCCAAACCATTTTTAATTTTAATTCAAGTATTTTTTGACTAAGTGCTCGACCAAACCAAATCTAATACCCCTTGACAGCGTGATTCAACGCTCCAGAGGGGCCCTAATCTTCCTACCACCAAGGGGAGGCCACATGGCGTGAACCCGGATCGCTAACAGTCGCCACTCGGGTTGTACGCCTTCACTGAGGCCGTCGGCAACAGAACATTTTGACAAGTGGACTGTTGACGGCTTAAGGCTCAGTGGAGGTGGCCGTGGTGGGAGCTAAGGCGGCAGCTAGCCAGGGCCGCTTCCATCAAATGGGGAACAGTGGTACACCAGTCGCGGCCACTCAGCTAACGGGAGTGAGAAGGGTCCAGCGGACCGATGAGTGGCCGTGAAGTTCCTCTCCACACGCTTAGGGGGGGGGTGATGACACCCCCGCCCCTGGGGGAATTACCCCCCGACTGGTCGGGGGAGGGACCCCTTTCAAACTTAGGGGCCTGATGGCTGGCCGGCGGGTGCCGAGAGTCGCCCGGCAGAGGGCGTGGCTGAGCGCCCCCGCCCGTGGGGGTCGAGGGCCTGGCAGAGCCCCGAGAGGAGACGCCGTTCGCACTCAGGCACAAAACGGCATGATGATTGCCCTGGCAATGCAGACAGGGCCGCCGATGCGGACAGTCTCGCTGGAGGTGTCCTCCCAAACATGAGCAGCACCAGCGGCGCTCCTTGGCGATAGTTCGCCTCGCTGGAACCGGCTTACCTAATAATTTCGGGCACGACGTTACCCGTATGATCAGATGCTCGACAATAGGAGCAGGGGGGGGGGGGGGGGTTGACGACGACTTGCCTGGAGGATTCAGCCTCTCACTGGGCACGGCTCGTAAGTCGTCAACGGTGCCCGCCGCGCTCTCTACCTGCCGGCACTGCTCCTCCAAAAACCGCACCAGGTCATAGAAGGGCGGAATATAGGAGGCCTCGTCCCCGCCGTACCTCTCCTCAAAATGGATTCGAAGGTCGAGAGGTAGACGGGACAGCACGATGCGGAGCAACAAAAAAGCCCATTCGCCCCCTGGTAAACCCAGCCGCCTCAATGTATTATAGGCCACCAAGACTGGATACAACAGGTCCGGACGCAGTCTGGCCCGGTCACTAAGCAGCGGGAGACTTAGAAGCTGCTTAACATGTTCGTCCGCAATTCGCCGGACGTTGGCGTATCTTCTGGCTAGGAGGTCCCGAGCAGTCTGGTAGGTGTCGTCCGACAATCTCAAGTGGCCGACGACGCCCAGGGCCTCCCCCTCCAGTGAGGCCAGGAGGTACACCATCTTTTGGCTCGGGGTCAAGTCACTCCGGGCGTCCACTAGGCTGTCGAAAAGACCAACGAAGGTCAGCCATTCGGAAAGGACCCCGGAGAACTTTGGCAGGTCCAGAGTTGGGAATCGTCCCAACAGCTCCGGCTGAAGCTGCTTCAGAGAGGACTCGGACAGGTGACTCATCCGAGCTTCACGCGCCTCCTCGGCATAGCTGCCTTCAGCCTCGATCAACTCGTCCGTGAGCCACAAGAACTGCTCATAGTCCGCGAAGCAGGAGTCCAGGACTCCCTTCTCCACATTCGAATCCTCGAGCTCAGCGTAAGCCTGCGGCCCTTCGAGCATCCACCTGCTCGAACCGCTTCATCAAGTTATGGACCCTATCCGGTCGACCTATCATGGGCGCTTGTGGCCCAGCGCAACTCAGTCCGCAGACAACGGATCAGTAGTTTGGGCGATGACATCACTATTAAATACAAATTACGACGCGGCTCGAGCACAGATTACAAAGATAGCAAATAAAAAAGACAACAAAAAATTAACAGTTAATAAATGCAGTTCCTATCAAATCGCGTTGAATAGAAATTACACAAATACGAATTACTACGTATCAACCAAATACAAGTTAGCACAAAAGAAAAGACACAAATCAAATTAGTACGATCAAATCAAGTTAAATTCAAATTGCGCAAATACAATTACAACTCTTTAGTTCAAATACAAATTACAGTATAAACGAAGATACTTCGAAATTCAGAAATCGACCCTTCGATAAGTAATCCACTACGACTATCCGACAACGATAATTAACCGATTACGTAAAAATAACCATCTACCTACATGACGTATATCTCTAGAAAAACTCCCGCTTGCGCAACCTAGGGCGCGGCTTTTCAAACTACCTACTAACCAAAAAAAAGGCAAGCAACAAACAACAAAGGGAAATAATTGTATTATTACGTACAAAAAATATTTTTACGTATTACGGACGGGCGTGATTGTAGATACAAATTAAACCAATCAAACCAACGCTCCCTGCCACCAGAATTGTTTAATGTTTATCAAACACTATGGTCGGGATCGACCGGGAATCGAACCCGGAACCACGCTCTGCTACCAGTTTATTACGGCCTACGGTTGCTTCCTTAAAGGATCCAATCCTCTGGGGCCCATGAGCAGAAGACTTCCCGAGCAAACGTAGGTCGGTCCTCAATGTGGCCACGTGGAAATTCCTAATTACAATAAACCAGATGGGAGGACGTTAGAAGGACATAGTACTTACCATTATCCGAAGCTAACTTCGCACCAAGGCTTGGGCAGGCCGTGAGTGTGTGTAATAGTGGATGGAGAGTAGTGTACAGTGAGGGGAGAATGTGTGGGGCCTTGTCAAGCATAGGCGACCAGCTGCTGCCGAGTTCCAGGCTGCTCCAAAATGCTGCCACACTGCTTCAGACTGCTTCGGCGCCGGACCACAGTCACTTTCTTCTTTCGTCACGATGACAGTCACTTAACTCTATCGTACGATTAACTAGCTTACAGAAGCCACTAACTATCGCGGGGTATAAGGTTACCGCACAAAACACACCCGGAGTTTCTGGATCAAAGGTCACTACCGTTTCGCGTTGCAACAGTTAGTTCTAGAATACAGAGGCCGCACTAGCTAATATTGTCGAATGCACTTATAAAGATTCTGAGTCGGACCCAATAAGTCCCGGGGAAGCTCTCCAGTAGGGATACGCGCCACAAAATTCCTAGACCGTATTTTTACTGTCCGCGCTTAATTATTCCGAGTTCCCGCGCTTAATTGGCAGCGTGCCAATCGTGAGCACTGCCTAAGGACGACTGACTGCCCTTGGGCGTTTTTCGCACGACCGAAAGTCAAACCGGTATCGTGCCGAGCCGAGTGACATCTGGCGTCGATTCTTGACAGCGTTGAGCGCGAACAGTTACACCACGAGACTAAACGACGTATTAAAATTGAGTAACGTTTAAGTATTTGGTCATTACGAGTAGAATCTCTTTAAAGTTTGAGTATTTGGGTAGTAGAGGTCTAATTTATTTACGTATTTTAACCCTTTCCTTGTCCAATGTGTCATATATTATGAACATTTCAATTGTTTAACTATTGTGTCTGTTTCGCGCACAGGGAAGCTGTTATACAGCTATTATTACTTAATACTTTAATAGAGTTCATTGTTTCAGAACAAGGGGTATGTTTTGCGCGAAAGTAGATCACGACGAAAACTGTCCATTCGATTGATATGAAATGTATAGATAATGTGAATTTGTGAAGTACAATAATTTATTTATTTGGTTATTTAAGTAAAACAAGTGAAGGTAAAGTCAATTGAACATAAATTTGTTTATTTTTAGTTGTAATAAATTATTTTTGATAAAAATTAGTTTCATTTACCTTATTTCATAACATCATCTTCATTACGGCCCTTCTGAATCCCACTACTGAATTCATAACATCATTTCATCACATTCTGATCCTGAGCTCTGTACTTACCGGCGTCACTTTTATTTATACATTATAAATTTAAACAATTGTATAAGACCCACAATTATACGAATATAAGAAAGTCGGAATAGTGTTTTTAATTGTAATTTATGTTGGCAACATCGTTGCAATTGTTTGAGGTTTTTGCGTCAGATTCAAATGTTGGCAAAACATGGCAAGCGAGTGAGTGATCATTTCAGCGTGCCCCTCGTAATCACGGCACAATACTCAATTTTATTTGTAGTTAGTGTTTACTTCCAGATTGACTTGTTTATCCTGTGATATCTCAAAGGTAAATGAACCGAACTGGTGGCAACTTGGTATTTATATTTGTATTGAGTTTTTTTTTATAGGATAGGGTGACAAACGACCACACAGTCCACCTGATGGTAAGTGGTTACTGTGACCCATAGACATCTACATCTATCCTCAATAAAGACTCAAGATGTGGATGCGTTGTCACCCGTGAGGACTAAGATGGAATACCTCTTTGCCAGTAAATGGGGTCTCCGGTTCTCTACACTCACCATACGAAACACAGCAGCGTTAAGCTGCTATTTTACGCTGGTTTTCTGTGAGAGCGTGGTCCTTCCCCGGTCGAGCTGACCCATTCGTGCTACAACTATACTACTAATATAGCTGCAGCATGGCTCTACCATGTAAAACCAAGTATTGGCAGAGAAAAAAATCCCTCTTCTCCTTACGGGTTACCCTCCATCCCGCAAACTTTTTGACCCATCCTCGTAGCTATTCGGCAGCAGTTTTTGTAAGTATGTAACGTGGTTCGAGCCTACAGTTAGACAAAAAAAGGAAGTAAGTAAATTCTGTTCTTTTTACCATTTTTAAAAGCCCACTTTTATCCCAGACTATACATTATGTAATGTTCAATATGAATTAATATTGTTACGGCCCTCCGTTGCCCCGGCAGAAGTCGACTGGGTGACCCATAGTAGCACACTCGACGGCCAAAAGAGAGTTCGGGCCCAATGGCCTATGGATAATTATTACTCTGGCTCGACGAACAAACATGAACTTACCGAGTTCCGGAGGTGGGGTGGGACCACAAGGCGCCGTCAGGGGCAAGTGGGTGGCATGTAAGTGTAAATGTAGTAGTGTGTAAGTGTAACGTGACTTAACCGATGTAATTGGCCAGCAGCCCACATGCGCTGCTCGGCTACACAACTTCGATCACTCCAAGGGCGTTCACCAATTAGACTTTCTGCTTGTATTTCACTTTAGTAGTTTATCAACTTTATTGTACATTTAATTAACTTCAAATTTAATTAAATCGGCGTTAATCGAACTTAAAACAAGTGACACACTGCTCAACTTAAGAATTGTCGGCCAAAGTTCAATGTCCCATGTTTACTTAGCACAAAATTATAATAGAATACGAACGCGACCTAACTCTCGGGTCACAAAGTTTTAGCGTTCCATCCGACAAAGCAAAAATTCTTTCGTACGATATTAATACCACACAAGCAACTCGTCGACGCAAATTCATGGCAATCGAAGTTAAATTAATCACTCAAAACTTAACACAAGCCTTTTGTTACGAAACGTAAAAATTAGACAACTCAGTGAGAGGCACGCGACCTAACGATTCAATAGTGTAATTTGAATCCTTTTAACCGACACGGCCGCGCAGACAATTGATTGTATTAGACGTCTCCGACCGGCCGTCGCGCGACAATCTTTCAGACTGAGGTAGGGCGTGGCCGCCGCGTGCAAAACGTGCGCCGGCCGGCCCAAGCCGTCAAACCGGTTTTGAATGTAAGTTTTAATGTGTTACGATTAGGCCTAAACAAATATACATGAGATGTTTCTACCATTTCTAAAAGATAACTCTCGCAACATGCACACGACGATATGATGGATACTATTACGTCGCCACTACACGAGAAAAAGATAATAATATTATCTTTTGTTAAGGTAACAACGGTGTAAGAATATGCACTGCCTCATATCGTCCCTTAGGTGTCGAAAGAGGCGACAAAGCGAAACAAACCAGGAGATGGGCAGCAGAGTCGATCTAATAACGTCAAGAAAATAAAAAAAACTGCATCAATCAGATGGATAGTGTGGTATTTTGTCACCCTCATTTTATAAAAAAGTAGACATAACAGAATAAATAAGAGACATTTGTAATAAAAATATTTAATAAATAATTTTCTAAGAGGCACTATTTCTAGGAGCCAATGTGACTCCGATAGAAGTGCATGAAAAGTTACAATCGTCGCTGTAGAAAAACGCTTTGAACGTCAGGTTTCCATATAAACACTTGCCTCCGTAGTACTTCTGTGCCATATCATCTATATCTAAATTAAATTTGTAGCGTCCCTGTAAATTTATTAGAAATAATTAACACCAAGAAACTAAAACTATTATTTATTAAATCTTGATTAGACATTATTAGAGACATAGCGTTTTATTATGCGAAATTAACTTTTTTTTCTAAAAGTCATCGTCAGCACTATGTGTAAATTCTTTTTTTAATCCACACTGTTTGAATCTTATCTAGTATAATAGTAATTTCACCAGGACACACCTCTAGACCAGAACAATTTTTTTAGGTCAAATATTCAGTTAGGGATCTGAACACGAGTCCCTGCAGCGCTGCGACTTAAAGCTTAGTTATACTGTGCCACGGAGCTGTGCTGAAATTTAGTGATTATGTATATATATGTACTCTTTGCTATATGCATACTGTTGACTCACCAACGAAGTTCTAACGAGTGTTCTAAATCTAATTAAATAAAAGGTGGAAAGGAAAGATGTCAGTTACGCGCATGTCACTCAGCCAACTCTAGTGATGTGTAGGAACAATTTTTTGCACAAAGCTTACAGGCAGTCGCATTTTCTGTTTCTAGTGGTGGATTAAAAAGTTGTAATAATTTTCTAAATAAACAAAGTATATAGCAAAAATAATTGTCAAGTTTGTTTGGCGGATGTCGATTATGATACCAGACTTCCCTTGATTATGCTTATCTATCAGAGGTCATAATTTTTTTCAGGAATTTCCCTATGTCGCATTTTATGACCAAAGAATGGATCTTATTTTTTCACACGGATGAAAATTACAATAAACGAATTACTTGACCATGTAGTGGCGGCATTAAGTGGCTTAAGGATATCCACTGCCCCATATCGTCAAGTGGGTGTCGTAAGAGGCGACAGGGGGGAATGGAACCAGGAGATGAGCAGCAGCATCTTCATTATCAGCGTCGGTGCCGGTGTACCATTAGCACTTTTACCTTCGGAATACTGTCAAAAAATAACTTGGTACTTCATTTAAAAAGAGACAAACAATTACTTTTACAATAACACAATCCTTTGTGGCATTAAATAGTGATACGAACAAAGGCTTTAGAAATAGATGACCGCAAGGTTTCTTCATTTGAAGCCTTACTAGAGGTTTTCCGTTAGCCATGAGCACCATCTTGACCTGTTGAAATGTTTAGTATAAACACCTATACATGTGATATTCTGTAAAAGTAAGAATAAAATTATTAGCTTTGGACCAGGGTAATGCAAGTTTTGCAACTTCGCACAGAAATTGTAGTAAAGGTGATTGTAGATACCACTTAGAGACCTTCAAGAAACGAGTTAACTCCATTTTAAAAGGCAATGCACCTGCAATTCTACTGATGTTGCAGTTGTTTATGGGCGGTGATTGAAACTTACAATCAGGTGAGCTGCATGCTCGTTTGCCTCCTCTTCTATAAAAAAAGATGACAAACGAGCACATAGTTCACTTTATTTTTTATTAAGTATAAAAATACACATGCATAATCACCCCTAAGGACTGAGATGAAATGCCGCGTTACCAATCTCATTTATTCTCATTTACTTATACTTAATTGTTACCTAAATAAAAACACAAAAACCCGAGTCAGGTGGAAATAATGTGATAGGTGGCATAAGTAAAAAGAAAATTCATGATGATCATCATCATCATTACAGCCCTTCACAAGTCCACTGCTGAAAATAGGCCTCCCCCAAGGAATGCCACAAAGCACGGTCCTGAGCGACCATGCTTTGTGGCATCTATCGACTTTCTGCATGGCTTACCAGGTTGTCACTCTATTTAGTAGGGGGGGGGGGGGTACCTTTTTTCTCCATCGGTTGTCGGTTTTTCCAGCTATATGGCCGGCCCATTGCCACTTTAGCTTACTAATCCGTTGGGCTATGTCACTCACTCTGGTTCTACTGCGGATATCCTCATGTCTGAGTTTATAACGCAAAGAAACCCCGAGGATAGCCCACTCTATAGCTCGCAGAGCGACCTGGAGTGTCCTCACACGGCCAACAGTGGAGGACCACGTCTCAGATCCGTCATCACTGGTAACATGCAATGATTGTACAATCACGTTTTCAGGTTTTGAGGTATACCTGACGGGAAGATTTGTCATAATCTCCCCAAAGCTGCCGAAGTTGGACATACTTAGTCGGACAATTGACTTGACTCCCAACTACTACCGGCATCCATATCCATGTTCTTCTTAAGACCTATCCGTTGGGGGATATTATTGAGGTCATTGATCATAGTGCTTAGGTCCTCCAGCGATTATTCCATAAGGACTATATCGTCGGCAATTCGAAGGTGAGTGATTTAGTCACGATTGATGTTAATACCGTATCCTTTCTAATCCTGCAGCTTGAACACGTCTTCCAATGCAGCGGTGAAGTGTTTAGGGGATATAACGTCACTACTCTCGTTCTGTACTCCGATAGCCTTACTGTACAAACACTTCGATATATTGACAGTCAACTTAGCACCGCAGAACGGACTGTAGCACCGCCCAAATTTCGACGGAATTGTCTTCATACGCAAGGCAAAGTGGCAGATTGTACTCCTCGGTTTTCTGTATAATTTGCCAAAGGATATGTGATCTATGGTACTAAAGCCTTTTCGGAAACCGCTTGTTCGTGAGGCTAGAAGTCAACGAGTCTGTGTGCGAGACGATTCGAAATGACTCTCGAAAATAGCATATACACGCGGCTCAGAAGGGAAATCGGTATCTTCAATAGAGCGTTATATTCTTTCTTGGAGAACAAGACCACCAAACTTCTCAATCTCACTCGAAATCTCAGGTGTCCCGAAAACGATGCTGCGACACTCGAGCTTCAGCTTTGACAGTTGGCTTTTTCCGACATACAGATCTCTCACAAAGACTTTGGAGCCTTGGTTCCGCTCACTATCGCTTCTTCAATATGAGTTGTATTGAAGTAGTGTAAGTTTTGAGATCTGAGTTGCCTGTATGCTTTCAAATCTGTTGAAGACTGCAGCTTCATGCACATCGCACGCCCGCCGCACCATGTTTTGTAACTACTTACTTAGTAGTAGGTACGCATAATGGGTGTGCTGCGCCACAAATTAGTAGTTAAAGTTGACACGGTAACCGTGTTAGCCGTTGTCGCCCGCCGCACGCCGGCGATAACATTCGACTAATATGGATTGTTATCGAATTTTATCGACTAAACTGAATAATCGACTAATTCGATTAGTTTTAGCAATAATCGCCCATCGTTAGTTTAAGGTACGCAACCCTCGTCTACACACTCACAATCTTTACTACGTTGTTAACGAGAGACTTGTGGACGAGAAATCCGATAACTCCTTGGGACAGATGGTCGCCCTGCCAGTGTTAGAACAATTGTTTGGATTCGAGGATTACCGTCTCCTTCCTCTCTCTTTGGACCTCAGACAATCCTATTGTATGATGTTGGTGTGTGAGGTGGTATGTGCGTGTTATTGGCTAAGTATGTATGTACTGTGTCCCTATACTATAATATCTCAGCGCAGCTTGTCTTTCTCTTCTTCCAGCTCCAGGATCTGCCCGTCAGTCCTCAGGGTCCGTACGTTGTATGATACTAGGTCGAGTCATTTTAGGTGGCAACCGAACCTCCACCGGAGATTCTTAGCACCCCCTGCCCTGCCGTTACCATGGTCGCCAATCGTCATGGTACCCAGGAATAGCAGGGTCGCCGGGGACTAGGGGGCGTCTTTTCGTAACTTTAATTATGCGAGTGGGGGGTTTGCCATAGTTGCCACACTTGACGAGCGGGTTGGCATTCGTAGTTTTTTTCAATTGTTTTATTGCAGTTATCAGGAAGATGCCGTTACCCTTCTCCTGCCTGTTTCCCACTGTCGCCTCTTACGACACACACGGGAAGATCTGCGGTAGTGGATAAGTGGACAAGGTGAACAAGAATATTATAGTAAAGAGTTAACATTATCTGTATCTGATCATGATCACAAACTGCAGACTGCAGTTTGTGATCATGATCAGAACATCGATTCCTGCCAAGGATGATACGTGAGGCTATTGAAATTAAAAAACATCCTAATTTCAATAGAGAGGGAGGCTGGGTACTACCACCTGCTTGGGATCCTGTAATTCATAAAATCAAAACTAAACCCAAGCATACCACTGCAAGACTTCAAGACACAGTTAGTTCATTCTGCGTAGATCGGACCAAAATTAATAATTAAAAAGCTGAAGGTACTCCGGGTTAACTTTGACATCGGGACGTCAATCACCTCAGTCCCCCGTGACCGCGGTTGCTGGAAAGCAACCGAAACGTTGGGAATATAAAATATCTTAATTAAACGGTATAAAATCCGTAAAAGTAGTTTTATTCAATTTTATACTTATATACCTACGGATTTGTTCGGAACCCTCAATGCGCGAGTCCGACTCGCACTTGGCCGGTTTTTTTTAAAACATTTATACTTACCTTAGTGGGCATTACATCTTCTTTTGCTATTAAATCATAAAATATGCTAGTTCCGTCTAGAATCCATGTTGTCACTTCGGTACAGTCCTTGCGTTTCGGTCCTTTACAAGTTACTAAGCTTGTTACGTTTAGTTTGAATGGACCCTAGAAATTGAGTTAATTATTAATTGTTTTACTCATTGAATTGCCGTCAAATTAAGTAATGCTTTAAGTAGCTTTCTCTCTCTCTCTCCCTCTCTCTCTATTTCTATGACAATAGAAAGAGACAGGTACATATTTATTAATTTAAGTGATAATCAACGATTATAAGTACGATTATAAGTCCGTAAATTGTGCAAAATAAAGAGTGTGGATAAGCGAAAAATTGTATTCTGGCTAGTGTTTCCTTTAATAGTTTTTTAAATAAGTTGGTCACAAATACGATGATGACAATCACGATTAATTTTGTACGTTTTTTTAGCTTGAGGATTATTTGCACTTCCCTTGATTACCATATGATCACTAAACATCTGGTCATTAAGGTTACTATATTATATGTATTAAAATATACAATTGATATATATTTAATATCATCATCATCACCATCAGTACAGCCTTTCATAAGTCCTCTGCTGAACATAAGCCTCCCCCAAGGAATGCCACAAAGCTCGGTCCTGAGCCACTTGCATCCATCGACTTCCTGCATGCCTTACCAGGTCATCACTTCATCTAGTGAGGGTAAGCCCTGCATTTCGTCCGCCGGTACGAGGCCGCTATTCTAAAACCTTTTTTCCCCATCGGTTGTCGGTTCTTCGAGCTATATGCTCAGCCCATTGCCACTTCAGCTTACTAATCCGTTGGGCTATGTCGGTCATTCTGGTTCTACTGTGCATTTCTTCATTTCTAAGTTTATCACTCAGAGAAACTTCGAGCATAGCCCTCTCCATAGCTCGCTGGGCGACATTGAGCTTGCTCATCCGGCCAGCAGTGAAGGACCACGTCTCTGTTCCATAGGTCATCACTGGCAATACGCACTGGTTGGACAGTCTCCCTTTCAAGTTTTGAGGTGTACCTGACGAGAAGATGTGCCGTTATTTCCCGAACGCTGCCCAACCGAGTTGAAACCATCGATTGACCTCTCGGTCGAAATTGGACTTACCTAGTCGGACTATTTGTCCCAGATATACATACTCGTCAACAAATTCGATCTAAGTGCTCCTATCAACTACCGGCATAGGAGTAACATGGACGTTACACATGATCTTTGTTTTGTCTCTTGTCACTGTTCTATTTTGTGCCTAGTTTTACGTTGAAGTCTCCCATTAACACCGTATTGTGGATTTTGGAGGATTATGTCTCTATGATGTGCCGAGGTTGATGCGTAAGCCCTTATGACCTTCAGCGAATACCGTTTTTTGATTCTGAATAAAAGGTACGCAACCCTCGTCGACACACTCCAAACTTTACAACATTGTTAACAAGAGACTTGTGGACGATAAATCCTACATCACCTTGGGACAGATGGTCGCCCTCCCTGTGATAGAACAAGTTGCCGGATTTGAGGATTATCGTGTCTTCCACCTCTCTTCGGACCTCAGATAATCCTATAATATTCCAGCGCAACTTGTCTGTCTCTTCTTCCAGCTCCAGGATCTTCTCGTCAGTCCTTAGAAAGCGTGCGTTATATGTTGCCAGGTCGAGTCATTTTAGGTGGCAACCGAACAGTTTTAACAGTGGTAGAGCCAGGCGGCAGCTTTTGCTGTCGCACGGATGGGCCGGCTCGAACCGGGGTGGTACCACGACCTCACAGAATACCAGCGTGAAGTAGAGGTTTACCTCTGCGTTTCGCTTGGTGAGTGCAGGTGGCCGGAGGCCCTTTTTACTGGAAATGAGGCATTCCATCCTAGTCCTCACGGGTGACAACGCATCTATATTTTGATTCGCAAACGAGGATAAATGTAGATGTCTATGGGCCACAGCAACCACTTACCATCAGGTGGACTGTGTGCTCGTTTGTCACCCTATCCTATAAAAAAAAAAAAAAAAAAAACCTCCACCGGAGATTCTAAGCACTCCCTGCTCCGTCGCTACCATGGTCGCCAGTTGTTGGTAGCCAGGAATAGCGGGGCCGCCGGGGACAGGGGACTGTATTTTTGTGACTCTCGTCATGGGGGTATATTGCCATAATTGGCACGCTTGGCAAGCGGGTTGGCAACCGTAGTTTTTCATTGTAATTAGCTGTTATCAGAAAGATGCTGCTGTCCATCTTCTGCCTCATTTTCTTTCTGTCGGGATGATGTGTGGTAGTGGGTATTCTTACCAACCACTACACGGGGCTTTTAATACAAAATGATACTTGTTATATGCCAGTGTAAGATAATCTACTAGGATATGGAACATCCTGTCGGTGTCGTAGGAGCCTACAGGGATAAACTGAAACAGTAGATGGCCAGCAGTATGTTTCTCATATCAGCTCAAAATAATATAATAAAATCCGCCTGTCAAGCGGGCTACTATTGTAAATATTCTCCTTTAAGGCGGCAATCTCTGAGGAGTTCTATATTTAACGGTGAACTTTTGTAATGATTATGAAGATGATGATACTAAACCTTCCAAATATTTTGTGCTTTAAATTATTTTGTACTTACATAATTGTTTATATTGCTTGCCAGAATGTGCAATATACACAACAACATGAATGCAATGAACTTTTTGTACGAGTACATCGTTTAGTTACAATGTCGATAAAACAAAATAAAATGGTAAATGACAGTTGTTAGTTTCATTCAAATATGGTCGTTTCTTTTATCAGATTCATCATTCAAATTGGTATGAGTTAAAATATTTAAAGTTAATTCTTATTATAATGAAGCTTATTATAGTGACTGACTGAACATCAGTTTTACAATCTAATTTCCCCGTAATTTTCTGTGACTATTTTTATTGTAAAAATTTTAGGATAACTTATATGCAGAAATATTTGTGATAAATTTTAAACATTATTGGAATTATTGTCTGTTTGCCTGTTTCTTTGAAAATACATTACCTTAGGAGTACTAAAGTAACTTTAATTAAGTTTTCATAAAGTCATTAGAAATCTCCGAATTACTTCGAAGTATTCGGAGTAATTCGGAGATTCCTAGTATATCAATTTACTCAGTTCGAAAACAGATATACTGTAACTAAATGTTATGCATACAATTGGCACAAGAATTTAGTACAAGTCTAACCGATGTATAATCTTCTAATTATTATTTTAATTAGTTTATAAAAGTCCACTGCTGGACATGGGCTTCTCTCGATCTAGGGACAGTTCGCCTTAATCACCAATCTTTGCAGGCGGATTAGCGATTGCAGTACCAAGCGTCTCGCACCTTTAACGCTGCTCTAGCCTCCGGTATCAGGGTATTTTGCGTCTGATGTAAAAGGTATTGTTATTCCATATTTAATATTATTTTCGATGCACGTTGGATAAGATCAACAGATAAGAGCCAGAGCCTTTGCATTAGTTTTAAAGCAGAAAACGTGAGCGGTGATAAAAATCCCAAAGGTTCATAGATTCTGGAAAGATGGCTATGTGCACTTAAGAACAAGGAGTTTAACACCAAAAGTGAATACATCCTTAGATGGATTTCACTTACGGTCTTATAATATACAATACAGTACCTTAACAACATTACACTGTTCGCAATCCAAGGCTACCAAATCTGCAATGTTCTGATGGTATATCATCTAATAATTCAGTTGGGTTACTGGCCCATTCACGGAGTTCAAAGTTAACTTTGGAAGTGAATGATAAATTTTCTGGACCATTTGTCAGTTGTTTAACTGTACGACACGCAAGACATGGTGCTGATACAACCTCACACGTAACTGTGTATAAGCAATATTCTAGAATAGGTTCAAGCTCACTGAAACGCCAAAAAATCTCTATTAATCGCGATTCTTTCCAGCAGTTAAAATTTGACGGTACATTTGGCGAGTATGAGCTGTGAAAATGGTAAAATTACCCCGAAATCTACACAAAATGTCAAGAATATTCGCTTGGAGTCTTGGTACATTAATAATATTTCATTAAATGATGAATGAGACGTCGAAAACAACAAAAAGTTTCGTGGTCGTACTTTCTGGCCGCAGAACGCAATGATGTGGGACAAAAATGTTGCTCTTGTTTTGATCCATAAGAGTCATTAGAATCATGTGACCATTCTGTAAATACTCCGCCATAAAAGAAGAATGCTGAGCATAAAACTTAAATTTACGTATAAATTTTCGCTCTAGTGAATGAAATCGTCTAAGTGCCGCTTCTCTTGATTCTGTAAAGTCAGGATCCTTAAAAGAAGTTTTGAAAGGTAAAATTATGACGTATCTGCTTGAACTTTCATGAGACACTGTATTGATAAATAGTTGTTCACAGCAGTTTTCATCTGCAGTAAATTTTGTCGGCGCTTGCGGCAATTCCCAGTATTGACTTATTTGTTTATCAAGCTGTACATCTACAGTGATGAATAATAAGATATCTACTGTTATATTATTTGTTCTAACCCTTCCTAAGAAAACCTTATCAAAAGTATTAAGTGCAAAAGCTTGTAGTGGTCCTTCACTGATACTTCCTGGTAGCGGAAGTGAAGAGAAGATTTTAGCAACAAAGATTACGTCAATAGCTCCGGATATATAACAGTCAGGATCAGCTATCTATAAGTATTCGAGATGTATCCAGTGCATCTTTTTGGCTTAACGTTAAGCATTTGTTCACATGTCGTAGGTAATATGAGAGCTTCTATATTAAAGACTGGAGTATCTTCTACTTCTTTTTCAAGCTGAATTACATTTTATATCGCCGCAGGGAATTGACCTAACCCACAATTTGAAATAGAACTAGAGTATTAACGTAATCCTAAAGAACGAGCGGCTCGATTGGTAATATAATGAATGAGCTTGGCCGCATAAATCGAACCACGCTCGAAATTATTGATATTGGGCCAAGGAATCAAGATAATCAATAATTGCGGTAGATAATAGAATAATCTAAATACTAATCTAAGGAGGATTTGAGGGTTAACTAAGAATTTCATCCTTTTATTCAAATTCACCAGTTGTTTCAGTTGAATCAAGGTGTAGTAAAGTATGGTGGCGTTGGTGACATTTTTGACACCTAAATATAGACGCGCAGTGCTAAGACTATGTGAGGTTATTAAACAGTTAAAGCACCAACAATTTTGCTTCATGAAGTCATACCGTTTTGCAATGATTTTGGTAAAAAGGTTTTACAATGGTTAATAGGATGACCGTCTTCACAAAATAAACATTTATATGTATACTTACCTGTATAATTTGCTGACGTGAAGACATTTGATGATGTCGGTAGAAACGATGGTAGCTGTTTATCATCCGTATTCTATAATAATCTTGAGGTGGTAGATTTAACAAAGTAATTACCCTTACCTGTACATTTTATTTCTTATTAGTACTGTTTTTCAAAGGTTCGAGTACTGTCAAACACGCGAGGCTTCTCAGACGTTGTGAAATGAGTGTCGTGGTCAAGAGCATCACATTTAGAATAAAGAAAATATTTGAGTGCCGCATAGAAACGTAGTTTACTTGCAGCGGACCTTTGTTCAAAAGCATGTCAAAGCTAAGTATAAAAATGGTAATACTACAAAGTCCCATTTGTCAGTTACTAATGCCAAATGGTGAAGAAAAATAATTAACAAAAATCTCAAACATTCTGTCCTTTTTGTCGTTAAAATTGACAATGCGTGGTAATGCATTATTTAAACTGATTGTCAATTATTTTTTACGTGGTAGAGCCATGCTGCATCACTGCTCAATCGGAGAAGGACCACGCTCATTCAGAATACCAGCGTCAAATAGCAGCTTAATGCTCATAATGGCGAGTATTTGGAATCGGAGGCCTTATTTACTGGTAACGAGGCATTCTATTGCATATGTGACAACGCGTCTTTATTTTGATTTTTCATCGGGGGTATATATATAGGTTTCTATTTGTCACCGCATCCACTAACCATCAGGTGGACTGATATGATTATGAAGATAATTTCAAATAAATTTTAATAAATTAGAAAAGTGCGCTAAAGTTGGAACATAAGTTTGTCATAATCACCAAAATTTTCTGCTCCATCTGATGGTCACGTCATCTGACTAGCATAACTCTTCCAATTAAAAATTTTTCTTATCAGTTGTCAGTTTTTAAAAATTAAATACCTGGCTCTTTTCGTAGATAGTAAAACTTAAATTTAGATTAACTGGAGAGCCAAGAATAAATATTTTTCTAAATACTACTGTTCTTTTCAATATATTAATAACGGGCCTTCTAGCTTTCGGCGCATACTGGACGACGAAATATTTAATGAATATGACTGAACAATCTTCATCTACACCTGCCTCATTAACTGTCTCTGCGGCGGCGTAAGCTGAATTTGTTTGCTTTGTTGCCCACCTTTGAACGATGTTTCGCCTGATGAGTTAATTTTATTTTTGGATGTAATAATTCGGCAATAAATATAGTTTTTACCTTGAACATGATTATGTTTTATTACAATTAAATAAACATCATTTTACGGAAGTAATTAGTATCAGTAAAAAATATGAGCTAAGAGCCCACCTGATGAGTTTTGCTGCAAGTTAATGGATACCTGCAGCAACAAGCATCTTCAAGTAGGCCACACGTGTCATTGCTTTGGACTAAGATGGAATGTTTCTTATCTTGCAATAATAATAGCTCTCTTAGTTTAAAAATAAACATAGTCGTTGGTCATCGTGTGCTACGCTGCTTGTTAGCAGCAATAGGCGAGAGGGTGGTACATTCTCATTAGAATTTATGAAAATCTAATATAAGTCTGATATTAGCCAAAAACATAACAATTACTAGAGATATAATGTGGGGCTTAGTAATGATACACACTCAAAATATTATATTATTCTGCAATATTTTAAGTTATGATGTCATTTTCAAATATTAAATATTATTCTGATTTTTTAGAGTTTAATATTTACTTTGACTTTAAAGGACAAAAAACGTGTTTTTCAACTTACAATTATGGAGAAATAACCCTACAAGTTTAATTAATTTAGTTGTTTGATAGAGTATATAAAATAATTCATATTATGTTGAATTATTTATTATAATAGAATAGAATACCTTTATTAAATATAATTTTATGTCGTAGATTGGTACGTATTACTTATTGAAAGGTAGTTTTTCATTTCCTAGATATTCAAATGAGACATGTTATTATAAAATCTTTAAAACTTGATGATAAAGTTGTTCAAAATCTAAAATTATTTATTTTGATGCATATGTACGCTATCATTCATTTTCCTCATTGTTTTCTAAACTTACAAGGAGTTCGAAACATTTTAAATTGCAATTTTACGTGCGAATCGCTAAGTTATTTTATGAGTACCATGTGATCCATGCATAAAAATAACACCATTTCATATACATAAAAAAATTATTGAAAGTAGATGATTTGTAAATTCGTTCACGAAGTACATACATGTGAATAAGCTACTCGTAGCATTCGTGACAGTACCAGAAATAATTTTATAGCCCTTCACTGCTCAACATAGTGTAACGAACCCCCCCTCCCCTCTTTTCTTCTATATATCTACTTATACTTGTATTTCTTTAGAATCTATATCTATAGATATATAAATATATCTAATTTACGTGACCAGTATATTAATCATACGTTGATCTTTC